TGTCCTGTTCCATCCGATTTCTTGCTGAAAGCTGGGCTAAATAATCTGTGCATGTTGCAAGAGACCCGCGCATCTTGTAGAAGGGATTGTTACGATCAAGGTTGCAAGTATCTGCATATAGAGCCTGACATGGATTGATCTCAGGAGGACTCCGACGAAGAGCCCCACGACAACAACATGTCGGAGAATGATTTCCTGAAGTCTTCATCCAATGAGGAGCCCGCTGAGATAGCCCCCTCAGAAGTAGCCCCATCGGAACCAGCCCCATCAGAAGTAGCCCCATCGGAACCAAGCCCCTTCTCGTCCGCTTCAGACTCTGGGTTGGCCGCAGTGAAAGAGGAGCCCGGTGTAAGGCGTGCCAAGCAGCATCAATTTCTTGATGATACCCCTAAGTGCCCGCAGTGTGGAGACGCTCGCAGTTGCACCTAGTCTGCACACATGATAGTCTCAGCGACTTGCCCAATCCTGTATAGGAGGAAGTTGCGTATCCTAGAAGGTTGTAATTGTTAAGCTAGCTTGTGTGGAAGGGGATAGCCTCTCGATCCTAGAAGGTTTACCAATGGGTCAATGGGTTTCCGTTCTAGAGGGCTATATAACTGCATGGTATAAACTCTTGCAAGATTAGCCCATGGGACTGAAAACCACCGAGCGCAAGTAGAAATTCACAATTATGGATGATATGGAAGCCATGCAATGCTTTACCTGCCTTTGCCAAGTCAACATCGGTTGGACTAGCTGAGGCAACAGATGCCAGAGATCCCAACAGCTCTTGGCCATGATCCGCAAGACCAAAGATCAGATCGCCCGGCCCCGCTCTCAGAAAGACATGTGTAAATTTGATTCAAGCTTCTGGAGAACAGTCAGCGTTTGGTTAGGTGTCAGGTAGCTCCAACTTCCAAACATAGATGGTCTCCATGATTCATGCAGCCCCCCATTTCATAATTAACGTGGTTGGCTACGCAAGTATCTCCGCAGTGCACACCAGTGCACACTTCAGACCCGAGAATGCATAATTTATAACGCACCTCCCGACCTCCATCGCACGCAATTTTTCAACCCATGAAGCCACTCGATCAGGTCTCAAACGATGCCCACGGAGCCGTCGCCTGTGCGGACACCAGAGCCCCGGCAACGCTACTTGGCGCAACAAAATTAGATGAGTGCTTGTTGGCTTGCAGGCTCGAGGATCGAGGATTTCAGCAAATCAGCCTGGGCTAGGTTATGTTTTCTTCGAAGGGTTTTATCAAGGTGTGCCTGAAGCAAGTGTTTGCATGAAGCCGCACGTACTTGATGGACAATTTTCATGGGCTGCCCTAGTTGCCATGAAGTGACGCATAAATCGGAACACTATATATACCCCAAATCCCTATGTTTCATGACTGGAGCTTTGACGCTCTCTATGCAGCCAAGGCTATGCTTTGGACACTGATGAGACGCAGGTCAATGGGTTTCCCGAGACCCCGGAGCCCGTTGCCCCGCCTCCTTCAAAGGTGAAGGCGCCGATGGAAGAGATCACGGCCTGCAAGAGCAAGAGCGAAGATTGGAACGATATTGAGGATTTGAAGAATTTGGGCATCCACCCTCCTGTTACCAAGGTTGGACCCCTATGGTTGCAGGGCTAGGTATATGAAAAAAAGTTGGTGGATCCGGGCATGGTTTTGAGGGTTGTTTTGGGTCGTGACGATGTGTACTTGATCTTGGTATAGGCGGAGACTCAATCAGGGCTTGGGTTCAATGAAAATTAGATAGTTCTCAGCGCCCAAAACTTGTAAAGTGCCTTTGCAGGATTTCATTAGGGTATTCCAGCGGGTCCTCCCTTATATACCAATCATATATCCCCTATATACTTATAACAAATGGCCTTGAAAAAACCCGACCCTGATATGGAATCCTTTTCAGTTCCATCAAAGCAGTATACAAGAACCATGACCGATGAACTTATAGGTCCTCGATCACGTCATTAGAAGCAATCATAAAGACCATTCTTGAGGGCCTCACTCAAACAATTCCTCTACTAACAAAACCATGCTTACACGCGACAGGAACTCCTGATGCGACGTGACCAGTTGGGAGTCAGAGAGGACAAGAAGGAGCAAGGTCGCGGACGCGGACGCGGACGCGGTCGCGGTCGCGCATTGGCCAGATCAAGGATGACGAGGGCGAAGATGACGACAGGGAGGAGGAACAGCAGCTAGATGAGACGGACAACGAGCATAGATCGGAGGAAGATGAGCACCGGCCTGCGAGACAGGCAAAGCCTTCCGCCGCGGGTAAGGCGAAAGCGAAGGCGAAGGCAAAGGGAAAGGCAAAAGCCAAGGCAAAGGCTTTGCCCAAGACCAAGGGTACAAAGTCGTCGAAGGCCAAAGCCAAGGCAAAAGCCATGGCCAAGCCGTGCGAGATGGACAGCGAGGACGAGCAGCTCGAAGGCGAAGAAGAGGAAGAAATTTCCCGGGATGAGATTGTGGAGGCGGAAGCCTCAAGCTGCAAGACCCGCAAGACGGGCAAGAGCAGTTCTGGCGGGCATGGCGACGCCAAAAAGCGCAAGGTTGCTGCCAACTCCAAGAGCTGCGAGAAGGGCGGTGGCGATGATGATGATGATGATGAGCCGCTGCACGAGCGCATTATTGAGGAGATGGTGACCCACTGTTCGCAGTACGCGGGCCTCATGTTCAAGACCGTGAAGGACATGCTCTGCCAGGACAAGATGGAGTTTGACGGCAAGTTCAAGTTTGATATCTACTTCTCCCGTCCTGCGGTTGGTGTCAAGATGCATCTGGACAGCAAAGGCTCCAAGAGCTTGAAGGAAATTGGCTACTTTGGGTTCGGAAAGGACATCGACTGGAACATCAGTATTTCCTTGGCCCTCGCGTGCGCTAATTGCCTGGTGACTTATCTAAATCTAAGCTACCCTAATGATCTTGATAAGCGATACCCCCATCCTATGTTGCTCGTAATTTTGCGTCCTCACCCCATATAAAGCTAAGGCAAATTCGATCCAATTCGATGATGTGCAGGCCTTTGACTCCAAGGGTGTGTGCATTTGCCAGAAGGAAGTGGCAATTATCAAGAAGCACGGCCTTGCAGCTGCGGAGACTCTGATGATGGATATCAACGGTGCCGAAGGTGGCGCCTGAGCCGCTGATTTGAGGCCTACTTTTGGCACGGCCACTGGCCACTGATTTGAAGCGTTAAGTTGGGGGTAAGTCTGTTCCTACCCAAAGCGGGAAGCTGGAAGCCGCTGGATGCCAAGTTGAATCTTGGGAGCCCTTGGGAGTGATAGCTGCCATCCGAACACTATTGACTTTATATAGGCTACAAACCCACAAGACACGATGTAAGTTAGAGAGAAAAGCACCCATTTACAATTGTGTTCTTAGAGTGGCAGGTGTCCGGGCTAGCTGGACTTTCTTTCCTTGCAGAGACATTGCACTCCCCGATTTAGTCGAAAGAAGTGTAGTGTATTATTTTAGATTCGCAAGAGGCAGTCCAAGCCTTGTTCATTTCATGTGTCTCTCCTTTCCCAAAAAAAGAGGTCCTCAGCTAGCGGGGCTTCATGAGATCAAGCGGATGTCGCTTGCAGAAAGCCCGAGATCTCATCAAGGCTCTAGCGTTAGTTACCCAGCCAACCCGCGGGGGTTGCACCCAACGTTGCAAGTGTATACAGCCTATGATGATTTCTATGCTCATATAATGGCTGTAAAGCTGATCGAATTGAATTCTACACCGCCTATGTGGAACCAGCTACCTTTAAAACCCTTGACTGCCCAGGTCGGACCATGCCCAAAAAGAGACGGGGTGCACCGTACTGGGCCAATCGCCACGGCTTTCTGGACGAGGAAGACAGTTAACCTGACACGTTTGCCAAGCTTTTTGAGTGCTATAGCGCCCATGCCCCCCAATTAATGTAAGGGTATCTTCTTACTGCTACCAGGGTACTGATACATTCCTGATTGAGTACTCCGCTGAGAGAGCTTCTTCAAAAGTCCTGGGGAACAATCGTGCATGCCAATTTCTGCCGCGGCCTTCTTTGAGTTCGGTAGGTTACGTGCGTTGCTGAGCTACGCAAGAAGGTTGATGTGACTTGCGGTCCCATGCACAGATAGCCTTCCACGCGTTAAAGCCATCAGGGTTCCAATTCGGGGAGGTAGAGTTGGTGTTGTAAAATGGTGTCAGCGCTTGAGGCGCTGAAGACTTTGTAGGAATTATATGGGGTATATAAGTTTCATAAAAGAAGTCTCTCGTTGCTGTCGATCTAGTTAGAATTGAAACATGAGACAATCCTCTAAGCTTGTACGAAACCATGCCGGATCTTCCTACGGTGATCTCACGCCTACGTTGCCTCAACGCCCCGAAGGCTCCCTGGCGCAAACTATGTAATCCTATATAGGGGTTGGGGCCCCACTAACCCGACCCTGCCTCATCCCAGGTGATGCTTCTTGCGGTGATCCTGGTTCAGAGCATGCCGGCGCTCTTTGCTGACCAACAGGAGGGATCTGGGGGTTCTTTGTTGCCTTATAATTACTTATATAGAATCGTCTATGTCACCCTTTATCCCCCCTAATTTGATCAGAGTATGGGGGTTGTCTACATCATCGGTTTACATTGCAATTGCTTTCAATGTCAGATTCACCACTGTAGGCCAGTGTCTTGTTATTGCTTCGGTTCGGCGTCTCGGGGATGGAGGGTTATACTTTGGGAATGCATGGCTTCCAAACGAGTCTTTATGGGACAACCCCGCTCCAAATAATCTCTCAGAAACCCATCTTCTTCTCAGGGGCCCCAACGCAACCATGCCCTAAATTTATACGGCGCTGCAGAACACATCGATACTCCATATAAGCAGAACTCGTTTGGAGCCCCAGCTTTAAAGGAAGGAATAGAAGGGCGCAGCAAGTATAACGCTATAAACTTGGGGTGTGTAATTGAATTGCGTGAAAGAAAATTCCCAGGAGTTCGCTGTGGTGGAGTTCTTTGCGGGCTCCGCGCAGATCACTCGACAAATGCGTGAAGCAGGATACCCCTCAGCACGTCTAGACTTGCTTTATTCTACACCAGAGTCTGGTTCATCCATGGACATCAACACAAGCAGTGGCGTGGCGCCCCTTTGTTTAAATCAGCTTGTTCGTAGATCTGGTCGTGTAGCACGGAGACGCGAGCAGTTTCAATCAGCGCCCCAATCCGGCCAAGATGCGTTAATTGGATCTACTTCACCCCCCAAACTTTATATATATAGGCAGGCATATATTATATATATACTTCAACCGACATGATATATAGGCTGCTCTACAGTGAGATCCATTAACACATCTTGGCCAGCATAGCCCATAACCCTTTTAATGGAGAAGGTACGTGGTCCAAATCAATAGCAGCCCCCAACTACAACTGAGGCTTGCAATTGCCGTCCTTTTACGGTGCAAAGGAGATGGCTTCTTAGCTCACTTTGGTACAAAATGCAGCTCTTGGACTAGAGTCAATGTGGGCACATCCGGGCGCTCAGCTTGTTCTAGCATTGGTGTCACAATGCACAACTCCGTGTCAGAAGCGAACAAAATGTGCTCCCGGCGGCTGGGACTTACATAATTGTTGTAGCTGCACATGATGGGAAAGGCAATTGCGGTTGTGTGCTTGACCTTGCGAGTCTGTATCCACACTAAGAACCATTTTGCTCATACTTTTGGCGGTGTCGTTGAATGGGACCTTCCTGTTAGAGCAGCCGGCTGGATCCCTAATGGAATTCTATCCACGATTCCGTTGGATGCTGCAGCAGCTGGTCAACATGGGGGGTGATGAAGCTGTGCCACACTTGCAAAATACTTGAGTGACGTGATTACAAGCTTGATTCTACTTAGTTGCTCTCTTTATTGCTGGATCATGAAATGAGCAAAGGTGACCAAAGTATCCTGGTGGATGAGGAATTATGGGGGACCCACTGCGAAGCCTCATTACCTCTACAGCAACTCCAAGCATGCGGCAAAGCTGCAGAACGGGAAGCTTCAACGGCCCGTGGATCCAACCCCCAGCAACACCTGTGAGCACTATATCAACAAGAATGGCAAGCGATGCTGGGTCGGAACCAAAAAGCTCAAACAAACGGAGCGCAAGCCCCAGCTTGTCAATCTTTGTGTTGCATGCTTACTCAGAAGGGCACCTTTCATATGTAGCTTGACGGAACCTAGGGAGTACCCTCCAAAGTTCGCCCTGAAGCTCGTGTCTTTGTTCAACGAACTGGTGGATGAAAAAGCCGGTGTCCCCAGCCTTCCTGATCCACTTCCCAGCATCAGCGAGATGTGCGACTCCGCGACCTTTGCGGACATGTGGGAAGAAGCGGGCATGGGAGAGGTTGTGGCCTATCTGAGAGGGGGCAAGGGTCTGGGATTGATTGCAGAGCACCGTAGCCTTTTTCCAGAGGTTCTTCCTAGAAGCGAGAACCCGATGGATTTCTGAAAGGGTCTGGGCTGGCGGGTTGCTCCTATAGAGGACTTGAAAAGGGATTTGACAGGCCCAAATCGCTCCAACATGGTTTCTGTAGCCTCAAGATAGAAAAAAAGCAGGTCGAGCACCCTGACCCGTAAACCCCCGTAAATGACCCGCAATACCCCGTAAATAACCTGCAATTTTTGGTAACTTTCCCGTAAAAACCCGTACAAACCCGTAAAAATTTATGGGTCAAAACCCCGAAAACCCGGTTATTTCAGCCCCCAAAATCGTCAGACAAAGTCAACACCTGATAGAGTTTTTACGTGAGAAGCCCGGCCCCAACAAATTTATGCAGGAAATTCAGGCTGCTGTATTGTGTCATAGGCACATGTGACAGCAGCTATGCGCCAGATGCCAGCAAGATCAGACAAGGTCGTGATTGCAGCCAAAGAAGGATGTATTTCCCAGAGAGATCGTAGATCTTATGGGGTTCACACAGGGCTTTTAGGGTTGGGGGTTTGTAATGTTATCGGGTCTATATAGTTTATAAGGTTTCGAGTGTATAGGGTATATTGGGGTTTAGAAGGTTTGCCAGAATTTTACAATGGGATCTCTGGGGTTTATGCTCAAAGGCTGTCACACGCACTCCTCACAATCTTTTTAGGTTGCTGCGTGATTGCTTCTTGAGGCCAGTGTCACAGGGGTAGGTACAAGCGTGCGGGGTATAAGTATATATGTCTATATAGGGGGATCTACAGAAGCCTGGTAGAAGAATTGCACGCTCATACCTATCCATCTGATACTGTCATTACAATTACAGGGGAACTGAAGAATGTTAGGTCTACATAGGCCATGACCCTGGGATCCTGTATGGCGTCCTAATCAGCTGCATCAACAATGAAGAGAAGCCGCTCGATTTGGCAACCCCGTTGAGGGATTTATGTGCTGTGTCCTCCCGATCAAACCTATGCCGTATAGTTCATGCGTTAGCGCTGAGGAACCTGTACAGTTACTTACTCTTTTTGAATGTCGGAGCCAAAGGCCCCGATAGCCCTGATGTCCCGGACATGGAGTTGTGCCAGTCTTTCTGAAGGATTAAACGTAATCCTACAAGATGCCGCCCAGAACGCCGGCCTCTCTGACGAGTTGGACAGCACTTTGCTTGCCAACCTGGAGGAAAAGGGTTCTAATCTCCTCTATAGACAAAATAAAAGCCGCCCCGGGATTGCAAAATATCAAGGCTCTCTGCAAGGTATCCTTGTAGATATACATAATTACGCAGGAAATGGAGAGAATGCTGTTAGCGGACCCCGACGCCTTCTTGGACACCTGCCTGCATTGTGTGCATCCACAAACCTGCAGACCTTTGCTAGATAGAGACACGTGTGAGTTTGCCTCAGGACACCTTGCCAGATACTGTGCTAAATCGTGGGACATCCTCGGATACCATTCCGGCCCCTACAGCTGCGTTCAACACAGCGCGTATAACACTAGCCCGCCCCTATAAACCCTATACGCCCTATATTAACCCTATTATGTGTAAACCTATATAAACCCTATATAATCCTTATATAACCTGCGGTGTGAGCTCACGCAGCCTAGATGGGGTTGTATCTGAGGCTTCAGACACACAGCTGGAAAAGGCCGGCCTCCAGTTGCCCGCGACCCCGACAGAGTTGCCGAGTTCCACCTCAAGACTCGCTTCGAAAGCGAGACCCCAGATTGGGGCAGCTTTCTTCACCAGAGAAGGAAACAGGGCCGTAGAAAGGTTAGCGTGACAATATAAGAATAACTTAGGCAAGGTCTGTCATGTTCGTGTGTATACTTTTCGATGCAGGAGGAACTTGTGCTGAAAGCTTTGGAGATGCAGAACGCTTTGGAGGATGCTAGCACCACTACTGGCGGCGACAAGTCCAAAGATGGGTCCCCTGAATCTCCGCCTGGGTCGAGTGCTCCCCGGTCTATTCAAGCCCACCTACTTGGGGTATCTTGGAATTCATTCACTACTGTGCGCAAGCCGGATTATTCAGGATGGCCGCTAGATACACTTGTGTTCTGAGGTTTCTCCCACTGCCCAGGAAAGTAAGGTGCCCCCTTCGGAGGCTGCAGCTCGTGCACGCCTCCGAAGATTTTGTGAAGAAAATCCGGAGGCAGGCTTCAGGTTCCCACATGGCTTCACCTGAAATGGAAGAACGACCAGAATGGTATGTTGAAGCTGTGGCAAGAATGTCGCTTGAACAAGGACATTCTATTGTTGTGTGTGCTAGGGCGGCATACGGAATATGCTATATAAGCGGTAAACCTGATGTGTGCAGTTCCTTCTGCGCAAGGATTTGTTCGTGAAGACGGTCGAAAGAGTTCACAAGCAGACGAACAGCAAGAAGCTCACAATAGAAGAAGGATGGTTCACAGAGACCGATATGGAACTTATTCTGAACTGGTCAGAGAATCTTGCCCCAATGGAATCATGTTCAGCGTCCACATTCTGAATTGTGAGGGGTTACGCCTCCACACTTTCCTAATTGTCAATGAACCCCAATAAGTAAGTAGGTGAGTACCTCGATCTGTATGAACCCCAAAAAATCAATGGACCAGTAAATTCCCAGCCCTAGAAAGCCCAACAACTCAACAAATCCCGTAAACCACATAAACCTGTGTAGCCCTTTAAACTAAATAAACCCTATAAACCCAGGAAGCGCCGCAGGGGAGCAATCAAGCTCTGCGAGCAGGATCCAGAGAACCTCATACAGTGAGCCGCTTACAGGGTTCATGTTCGTTGCCATTATAAAACTTCCTAGCCTAATGGGGCCTAGATTCGGTACAAGGTGAGGTGTTGGGGAGTCAAGTGCTGCATCTATACTTTTCGCCTAAGGGACCATTCGGGGGTCAAATGTTATAGTGTTTCCGGGTGTTCTCCGATCATACTTGGTTCGCAAGGAAGGTAAAGTAAGCTAAGTAGTTATAAGCATGCGTTAGAATGAAATAGAAAGGGTCCATGTACATCGCTGTGGAAAGTATAGTAGATCCCCTCCCAGTAAGAATCTCTATATATATATATATATACCCTATTATCTGCCCTAAGCCAGCATAGCATGTGTCCACCCAAAGCCCAGCTTATCTCTTCTGTAGTTCCATGCAAGCATCAATCGGGATCCTGTCTGGGGTTCATGATTGTTGTGAATCGCGATTTTGTGGCTGATTTACATCAATATGGGAGCGCACTTGGGGCCATCGTGCGTGAGCAATCGTAAATGGGTCAAGAAAACGCTATATAGCAGCAATCCCACATCCCAGGACGAACGACTATGACGGAGAACGTGAGTTTTGGGTCAAGACCAGGGTCTCCGGAAAGAGGGAGGCTGAGTCTGCGGAGGAGATCATACGGCGGGAGCTTGAGGATGATCAGGACATTTGGGTAGCTGCGAGCAATTTTCACTAACCAGGCTGCTGCCCTTGCTCATTATGTGATTTACTCTTCGGTTTTCTAAGCCCCGGGAAATGTTACGGATCAGCAGCAGTCTGCTTTCACAGGAGTCCAATCCCCTGAAGATGGACAAGATGAAGGACGCCATGAATGATCTTAGCAAGTGGGACGAACGAACATCGTCTATGAAGACTAAGAAGGCAGTCCAAGACGTGAGCCAGGCCGGCTCGACTATTTATGATTCTGCCGCATTAACATGTTAATCGTATATAACCATCAAGCAGACGACACAATTTGGATGGCTGGAATCTCCGGTGATTCTGTACAAAAGTCCTTTCCCAAATTTCCTGACGCCTGCGCAAAGAACCTCGCACCTTGACAAGGCATGGCTACCAGCACTACGCAAGAGAAATTCATGTCGGCTATGTTGGGGAAATGCTCCAAAATCCGGGGACTGATTAATGACCTGCGGAAGAACTTCGATGACGAGAAAGCCCGCCTGAAATCCAGCTGCATTATAAGCCCCATTCTGCAATCTTGTCGCATATAGAACCTCACGTATGCATTCTCTACATAAGGTCGGAGAAAACCTTGGACACGCACGTGCAGGCTATGGAGGGCTACTACGACCAGCTTAATCTTCTGAAGGCCAAAGCTGAGCGCGATGGTTGGTTGGAGAAGTTCCTTTGACTGAATTATATAGCAAACCCTGTACTGTCATTATATCATTCACCCCATCCCCTTGACGGAATCCGTGCAAACCCGGCGTGTTGAGGCACAAGCAGGAGTCCGAGGAGTTGATGAACAAAGCCACCTTTGCGTAGCTTGTTCGCAGGGTGGTGCTATAAAACCGCTTTGTGATCTAGGGTCGTGATTGGGGGGTGGTGTGGCAAATTAAGGTGCTCCAAGGCGATGTCCCACGACACCAAAATTCGGTCTGAGCCCCAACTTACAGTTCCGATATGGGAAAGTGACTGGGTACTATATACATGAGCTTTATATAGATCTTTCAAGGTCCGCAAAGAAGTTCTTCTGCAAAAAGCAGAAGGTCGAGTCCTGATTTGATTGCTCGGTCCGGTATGGACTGCTGAATTTGTGCTGTGCCAATTTATGCTTGGCGTGTGGAATGCCATATGCCCCAGTAGGATTGTGCCCCAGTGTGATGATCGCGCCATGATCTGATGCACGCTGGTGAAAGTCTGAGCTTCTCTTGCATTGCAGTGTCTCATCTGAATCACACAGTATGAACCAGGACAGAGAGCTCAGCTTCTTTTGCATGACCACTATAAAACAAGTGTACACCTTACCCCGGAACTTGACGTTGCCAATCCTGAACTGACAGCCAGGCGCCGGGCCCTTTGCCACGCAGCTCGCCGCCAACATTGGCGAAGGGGTTGGGTGCTTAGAGGCTTAGAGGGGATTGGGAGCAATTACGCAAAGCTTGTTTTCAAATGTGTCCCATGCAGTGACCTGTACGGCGAAGGGCGGCTCAAAGTTGGTTTCATGTTTCCTTCCTGATTTCTATATAGGACCACTACACTATCGCGATCATATGATGTATACAACC